GGCTGCAAGCCAGCCTTACAGTCTATTTTCATCACTAAAATCTCCCTAAACCTTGAAAATCAGTTCCAAATCATACCACTAAAATTCAGTGAAAACATGATTAAATTTCAGCTGTGCAATTGTATGAAATTGAAATGGTCTCAAAGACTTTGGTTTCCTCATCACTATCCTTTGGGGGGGGCACAAAAATTGCACATCTGAAAACTGCCTCTGAATTTCAGCAGTGTGATCCTATAGTTCTGGAAGTACAAATGGGAACGACTTGAAAGAAAGAGGGAGTGGCTAAGATGCCTGCTAGCAAGGTAGGGCTGGCTGGGGGGGAGGAGCTATCAACAGGTTAACTTTTTTTCTGACTGGAGGAAGCTCTTGGAGACACGCTGGAATGGGGAACAGCGTGGAAATGAATTTATGATATATGGTTTTGATGATTAGACATGATGGACTATAGAAAGAAGTCACATTGTAACTTTAGAGAAAAGTTAAACTGTAATTGTACTTATAACTGCTGTAAAGATCAGAAGCCACTTTATAGCTTCTTTTTTTGTACTTTTAATTTTTCTTTTATTTCTCTTTCCCTTTTTCATTCTATTTTAGTTTATATTAGTTCTTCTAATTTGCTGCTATAAATTTCAATAAATGTATATGCATGTGTGTCTCTTGGTGCTAGCTATATATTAGCAATAACAATACACTTAAGACTTATATACCACTTCAAAGTGCTTTACAGTAGAGGTCCCCAACATTTTGGGCACCAGGGACTGGTTCCGTGGAGAGAGGTTTTCCCACGGACCGGAGAGTGCATGGTTTTGTGTGCTGCCTGCATCCCACAGATGGGGCTTTGCTTGTTTGTGCGGCCCGGTTGCTGGCATGCCGCAGCCCGGTACTGGTCCACGGACCGGGGGTTGGGGACTCCTGCTTTACAACCCTCTCTAAGCTGTTTACAAAATCAGCATATTGCTCCCAACAATCAGTTCTCATTTTACCAACCTCAGAAGGATGGAAGTTTGAGTCAACCTTGAGCTGGTCAAGATTGAACTCCTGGTAGCGGGCAGAGTTAGCCTGCAATACAGCATTCTATCCACTGAATCATCATGGCTGCTAACCTTCATTACTCCTGCACACTTCCATTAGAATTCCCATGTATTCATATCATCTTTTTAGACACTCCAGTTCTATTTCCTCTATTTCCCCCTTTATATTATTGCTCCTTGTAATCCTTATCAAACCTTCCTCCAAGCATGATTTTCAGAAAAATTCTCATTAATATAAATGGTATCTTTTTTCCTAAATCCAATTTCAGGAATGTCATGAATTTGGGGGCAGGGAAGAGACATAAGTATAGAAGGACAGAATTATACTTTCCCATCCAACTATGATTTACTCTCTCCAAAATGCCCCACTGCAGCATCCTGAATTAAGAAAAAAAATTCATTGATACACATATATTCTTCAAGTTAACTGCCTTATGGGGAATGAAAAAAATCTGACAATTATAGTTTTCCAACATGTTCAGGAAATATGTCATTCAGTCTACCTTATTCATCAGGACTTCTACAACATTCAAATAAGTAGTTTTGTTTCATATCTGTGTATGGAAAGTACAATTATGTATCTAGTTCAGTATAATTCTGTAGAGCACAAAAGTTAATGACTATAATTGTATCAATATATTTTACTGCTAACATTTTTTGATATAGTGAATATACCCATCTCAAAATAGTAAGTTGAACGTAAAATATTTTTTTCTCTGACTGAACTGATTAAACTTAAAGATAGAATGTTCACCTTGAAAAGTATTGTTTGAAAACCAATGTAAAATGTTTAAAAGGAGGGTTGCCAATTATACAACAGTAAGTAGGAAAACACAGCAAATGTACGGTAACTTAAATTACAGCCATAGTTTTCAATAGCCAGTAAAGCAGAACTACAGCAATGGAAGACAACCCAGGAGCAGATGAGACAAATTTCTTGGAAGCATGTGATTCAATTGTTGCATTTCTTTACTGCTTGGGTCAACAATCTGCCTTGCATGGAGGAGGAGACCACACTGCTTGTCAGCTGTGAATCAGGAGAGGATTTGTCCTGGAAGAGTTAAGCAACCAGCTAGTTGCATTTAAGGCTGAGTAGCATGGGTAGCAATAGAAGTTATCCCTTTGGAATATGCCATTTTGGAGTAACATAAAAATGAGGGCTGTAACCTTACTGGTGTGGTATGGGTGTTTGTGTGAAAGTATAAAAGGCCTGAAGCTGTCCCCAGCAGAAACATGGTTGATTAAGCCCAACCATCTCTGCTGGTATAAGAACAGGAACTCACTGGGAGTGATGATATAAGCTTGGTTGACACATTAGGGAATATACTCAATCTTTCAGGTGAGTTACAATGTACTGGACTTTCCTGATGGCCCCGATATGATTCTGAGTTGAAAGATTCACCATTTGTTTTTGTTTTTTAAAAGATATCTCTTTCAATACTATGTTTCCCAGAAAACAAAATTGGGTCTTATATTAATGTTTTGCTCCAAAAGACTAGTTAGGGCTTATTTTCAGGTTAGGGCTTATATTCAGGGAAATATGGTACTAAATGGGGCTTATTTTTGGGGTGGAGCTTATATTATGAGCCTCCTGAAAAATCATGCTTGGGCTTATTTTCCGGTTGGGTCTTATTTTTAGGGAAACATGGTACTTGGTTTGCCTGTTAAATAGCTACTGGAACTATTCATTCAGCACTTCATCTCAGGGGTGTGTGTGGGGGGGAGTATATATATCTATTGAATCCAGAGCAGCAATTACAGTAGTAATGCAGAGTAGCATTCTTGGTGTTGACAAGTTAGCAATCTGTTGCAGGAGAAAACAGATTAAAAATGGAAGTGCTATTCCCCTTTATCTTTCAGGCTTTGAGCCCAGTAAAGTCTTGATCTTTTGTAATAGCAGATGAGCTCAACATAAATCAAAGATAAGGAAGCTAATTGGGTCTGTGTAACAGAAGAACGGCTGAGGGAAACAGATGGGCCAGTATGGATTCAGCTTATTCCAACCGATAGTAAAGCAGGGAAAACGGTATTGCTCCAATTTACAAGAACAGTAGCTCTCACTGAAAGCCAATGGGTTTATACTGAGTGTGTGTACCTCAGTTGTGGAAGCAGGGATAGGTTGAGGACTCTATTGTTCTGTGCAGTGCTTAATGAAATCTGTGACTGAGCTGGTGATAGAATCTCCCAGGTTCATAGTGTTAGATAACTTCATGATCTATTTTGTGGTTTGTTTCTTCTGATAATAGAAATTTCTGGCAACCATGATTGTATTGAGCCTATCCAAATTAGTTACAGGCACTTCTGCACATAGCCAGTTCAGCATTTGATATGAAATTTCAAATGGAGCAGGAGTCAATTCTTTGAAATGTACTTAACTAGGATGAAGGGCTTAATCTTTGCTGGCTTTTTATAAGCTCCTAAAACCTAGCCTTATCTTTAATTGTTTTTAGTAACTTCAGGTTTAATTGTAGATTTATGTTTTTACTGAAAAATGCTGAAAGAACTTGGCAGCAAACGTAGTTTAGTAAATAATAATAAAATAATCTGGTTCTGTCACATGATTAAATATTTTTATTCATATTATTTATTAAAATTTGACTGTTCCTGTTTATAAAGTGGGTGAAACTCAGAATGTCTATGGAGATTTTCAATCATCCAGGTCATGGTTGTCCCAAAGGTGCTTTTTCAAGAGGCAACTGGACTTTCTTGTTTTTCTTTGAAGACGTTTCGCTTCTCATCCAAGAAGCCTCTTCAGCTCTGACTGGATGGTGGGAAATGGAAGGATTTATATTTATATTTATATAAATCCTTCCATTCCCCACCATCCAGTCAGAGCTGAAAAAGCTTCCTGGATGAGAAACGAAACGTCTTCAAAGAAAAACAAGAAAGTCCAGTTGCCTTTTGAAAAAGCACCTTTGGGTGAAACTCAGAAATCCACTTCGCTTCCTAACAGGATTCCTTCTTCTCTGCAGTCCAAATGCATTCATAAATCTATTCTAGAGTTAGTAGAGTTCCTAAAATAAGAAAAACAGACAAGAAGCTATGGGGATAGGGATTTCCCACCTTCAAATCTGAAGGATGAAATTTATACTGTTATTGGAAAGTACAGGTTAGAGTTCTAACTACACTATTTATTTGTAACTGTCTATACATAAACTTTCAGTTTAATTGTTTTCTAGTTAGGGAACTTCAGAAGTTCAGATACAATGCCCTGAAATAATGGACTTCCCCATTATGTGGGGAAGCAATCTGGAAAGTGGTTTCTGCTTCCCCTAAATAAATTTTGTCTGTGCATGGATCAGGTTTGAGTCCAGGTGAGAGAAAGGTGGAAGGGAAGTCTGGGCAGGTAGTGGTTGATACGCTGGGACAAAGTAGAGAAAGGAAAGACTGGAAAGATAAACATGTAATGAGTTAGAGCAGTGGCTAAGTGGGGAGGGAGGAAATCTACTGGGAAGACTAGCCAGATGAACAAGATAGGAAGGGACAGCAGTGGAAGTGGCAGTTCTGGGTTTTTCTTTTCCTGCTTCACCATCTTCACCACTATAACAAAGTTAAAGGTTACATCTCCTTTGAATCAAGCTCACTCCTGATGACTACATGGACACAACCATCCAGTTTCCTTGGCACCTACAGTAGGAAGTAAGCTTGTTCATCTTTTCTTCCAGCATGTTTTTCAACTTCCCTGGTAATCTCTCACCTAGGCACTAAGTAGCTCCAGACCTACTTAGCTTTCTAGCTTAGACAAGATCAGCCAGCTGCTACTAAGAAAAGTGTGTGGATGTGTCACTGAAGTCAGTAGGAGTTTAGTCCAACTGAAGGACATTAAAGCAAATGCACATCAAAACTATTGTGACTACAGATTACATCCAAGGTTCTTTTTAAATGGTTAATCACTCTGAGAAATATTTGAAAGGGAAGAACAGTCTAAAATGAAGATAAAAGCTTATGATGCCACTCTAGAATGCTAACCTGTTGAATTATTTTGGAGTCTTTCTGCAGGTTCTCTTTCGGTGGAACTTTTCCAAATAACTTCCAGCCAGGAGCACTATGGATACCAGGCTTGAGTTCCTTTGTTCTTTTGGTAAAGAAGTTCCTGTAAAAAATAATAATAATCAAAATGTAGATGTTTTCACTACATTAACAGACTGAAACAAAAAGCTGCCTTATCTAAAAGGGAATATTATATATTATTAATTTTACAGCAATTGGAAAATCTTTTATTTATTCTGACTAGAATGGAATGAAATAAACTTGTTTTTCTAGTTTCAATATTTAAAAGAACAAGGATTAAATTAATGCAGACGTATCACTGACATTAAAAATAAGCCTTTCATATGCTACATAGTATAAACATCACTGAAATCAAGTAAAAGAAACACTAATATCCCAGTAAAAGTTCTTTCCCTTGATATTTTAAGTTTTGTAATATAAAGTCCTCAATTACTCACAATATATAGTATAAAATACAAATGTAGTTATAACAGTAAACAAAATTAACTTAGAAGTTTAGAGGAAATAGCTTATTTTGTGTTATAATTACAGTATATACTTCTGATCCAGAGATCCATTCTCCCTGTTGAACACAGCTTTATTGTTTTCTTCTACGAAATCCATGAAATAAACATTTTCTATATTCATGGAATAACATAAGGAAAAAGCTAGAAAAACACACACATACCACAAATGACATTTTGCATAGATAATTATAAATATGATTTTTTTGTGTGTGTGACAAAGTACAGCCAACTCCAAAAATGTGGTAATGTTTTACCAGTTTCATATATACATGCATGACAAGAAATTCAAGTGACATATGGGAGGAAAGACAGGCTTTAGGAGAAGCAGAAATCTAATTTTGGGAAGTGGTACCTACAGTATATTGCCATGCTGCCTCTGAAATAACAAGAAACTTAACTTGCACAATCAATATGTGTGGTTATTCAGAGAAATTAGCTACAATGGTTTAGCAAGCATTGAAGCCATTTGTGAAAGTCATCATTCTTCTTTGTTGAATAGTAGCAGTCTCCCTGTCCTATGCAGTTTTTGCTATTTCTAGGAAGAAATAACAATCTCTTGTCTTCTGTACTGCAGCATGAAGATTTAAAATGGAAATTCTTTCAAATGTTTAGTCAGCAAAGATTTAACACAAAAAACAAGCATTTTTGTGGATGTACTGCATACAAACGAAAATGGACATTTTGTATTGTTGATTGAACAAATCTTCAAGCATAGCAAGCAATACCACCAGACACACACAATTTCATGGTATGGCTCTCCTCCGGGAAGACAACACACAAATCCTAATACTTATGCCATACTTTATGGCACTGCAGGTGATCAGATGGTTTACAGCCATTTGTTTAGTGACTGTTCCAACGTTACAACACTAGAAAAAATGACTTATGATCAACCTTCACACTGTGTTCCTGGGTGATCACCATTTGTGACTTCCGAGTCAGTTTCCGACATGCGTGATCAATGGCGAAGTCAGCAGAAATGGTTGCAAACTGCAGTCACATGATGCCTCGTTTAAGGACTGCACTGCTAAGCAACAAATTTTCTGGTCCTAATTGTGATTGCAAATCAAGGACTACCTGTATATATCTACAGTGCAATCAAACTAAGAAATTCAACCCTTGGAATATAGCTTAATCACACATTAAAGAATATTTATGTGCAATTGTTTACAGATTTAAAATATTAAAAAGAATAAGGCATTGTAGAAATGTAGACAGCCTTTTGGTCATTACTTAAGATTTTTTTTTTTTGAAAAAACAACAGCTTCCAGAGCCATGATGGCACAATGGTTAGAATGTAGTACTGCAGGCTAATTCTGCCGGTTTCTGGCTGCCAGCAGTTCAATTCTCGAGGTTGACTCAGCCTTCCATCCTTCCGAAGTTCGTAAAATGAGGACCCAGATTGTTGAGGCCAATATGCTGACTCTGTAAACCGCTTAGAGAGGGCTGTAAAGCACTGTGAAGTGGTATATAAGTCTAAGTGCTATTGCTTTTGCTTCCAAACATTTCCTGTTGCCAACTAAGAGTCTTCCCATTTGTTTAGAATTCTTCCCACTCCTCCTTGCAGAACTCTGTTATTTCAGAAATATTCTCAGATACATTGATATTTAGTTGAATCCATACTTCTGCTTGGCCACATAGTATTTCCTGTGCTGTCGGCTGTCACACAACCCCAAAGCATAATAGAGCAGCTCCTGAGCTTAATGGTTGCCAGGGGACTCTTTCCTTGAAATGCTACACTCCTTTTCTCTGAATGTATCTTGCATAGTTTCAGCCAGGTTTTTTTTTCTTTCATCTGGTTCTAAAATATCTCAGGCTACTCAAGGTTTTCTTTTGTATACAAATAATCCTTGCTTAATCCTCACCTACTCCCCACCTTACCACGCCTGGGAGGGCAGAGCCAGTTACAGGACTCAGCAGTGCATGTAAAGTTGCCATGGACTAGGTGGCCTGGGCCAGCTACTATAGGCCCACCCGTATATAGAAAGCCACCACCGGCAGGGAGGGCCAGGCCAGCTACATGGCCCAGCAGTGCACATCAATTGCTCTACTTATTTTTGCATTTTTATGCAGTTGCTGACAGGCACTCCTAGCCAATATGAGGCATGGCCTTCCTACAGAGACTCCCTCATACCATTCTGCAAGCAGATGCCATTCTCACAATTGTTCACAATTGTGTGCCAGTGGCCCTTATAGCACCTGGCCTGGGCCACCCAACATGCAACATCTTTCCACATGCTGGTGGGCCCTGAAAAGGGCCTCCTCTACCCCAGCCCCCTCCCCATGCTTTGCTTAACAACTTCATATGATCAAACAACCAGATTGGGAGAGCCGGGATTGTGGTCATTGAATGAAGCAGTCACATGATGCCTTGCTTAACAACTACTTCATTCAACAATGGAAGATTCCAAGCTCAATTTTGGTTATAAGTTGAGGACTACGTGTATCGTACAACTGACTTTTGTTTGGGGTCCAGAAAAAAAAAATCTGACAACTCTCACATGAAGGTCATTGTTGTATAAGCAATCCTATACTATAGACCTTCAGACAGCTAAACTTTAGTTCAGCTAAACTTTTCAGCAATTATCTAGAGCAGAGGTCTCAAAACTGCCGGCCCACAGGCCGGATGCGTCATGCCGAAACCGGCAATGGAAAAAAAGTCGCGATACGTTGCGAGTTTGACACCCCTGATCTAGAGCAACCAGAGGTTTTGTTTTTGGCTGAAGTGACCAGGGGTTCTGCTTTACAGATCTAACCAGTTTGGAGGCAGTTGTAATCAAGATTTTTCTTGGCCTTGAGGCTGATGACCCAGTCAGTGAATAAGTTGAAGCTGAACACCAACTTGATATTTCAGCAAGGCAACAATACAAAACATACCTCCAAAGTGGCCATGAAATACTTCCAGGAACAAAAAAGACAAAAATCTTGGAATAACCTTTGCATTCTCCAAACTTGACTATTATTGAAAATCTGTGAGGAGATTTCAAACATGTAGTGTAGTAGGAAGCACAAGAATATTTCTGAGTTAGAAGAATTCTGCAAGGAACACTATCAGGGGGAGATTGTGCTAGTTTCTGTTCAGTAAAGATTCACTGAAACCTATTGTCTGAGTAGAAATATTTATACCTTCACATACCGTTGTAACTGTTCCCAGCTTCTTGTTCCTATGCTGAAAAAATAATGGAGATGGAGTATTTTTTTAAAGAAAAGGAAATGCTGTACAGGGGACGTACAGTCCTACTTTGTGCATTACACATCACAGAACTATTTTGTATTTGCAGTTTGGAGTCTCTTCCCAAGTTCTTAGTTCCTACTGGTTCAAACAAATTGCAAATATGATGCCATATGAAGGTATACACGCCCTGTATACATTCCCTAATCTGCATAGGGAAGGGAGAAAAGGCTGTTGCCTGGACATTTTTATTGACACCTTATTTTCGTTTTGTTTGAAGGGACATACAGTCTTTCATACAGCATATCCAACTGCAACCAGATGCATTCACATCTAAATGACAACTACCGTATTTTTCGCACCATAAGACGCACCTGACCATAAGACGCACATCGTTTTTAGAGGACAAAACAAAAGAAAAAAAAATTTCTAACCGGCGGTGGCGCGGTCAGGTAGGCGGCGGCGGCGGCG